TTGTTCTATTCAGATCTTTAATGGATCAGGGTGATGTTCATCCAAATAGGAGGGAGGCAATTTGCTTTATTCAATCTATAGATTCAAATGTTAATCTTACTCAGATCCACTTTCACAAAGATACTACTACTCAGAATAATATTTAGCCAAAAATGTTTGCACCTCAAGTTGACACATAAAATTAATCACCACACCATTCCGCTTGGGTTGTTTTCACCTTTTGGCTATTGTGAATAATGCTTCTATGAACATAATGTACAAACATTTGTTTGTGTGTGTGTGTTTTCAAGTCCTTTGGGTTTCAAATGGTATTTTTATCCAGTTATTGCATATGCTTAGTTGACGTTTAGAATTCTAGTTGCCAAATCATTTTAATCACCAGAGTCATGTTCTAGAAAAAAATACAGTTGAGTCACGTCTGATGCATGTTTAGCAGGTTATATGGGTTTACTTGTACTGTATTTTATAGGTGATTGAAGAGATTTCCAATGCAAATGTTTTATTATACTTGAATTTTACCTAATTCTGTGGAATAAGTCTCTGTGTGTAAAATACAGCTATACAGTATTGGTTTCTTTTTACAAAGCAGAAAAATTCCTCTCCAGATCAATTCAATTCCAATAAAATCAGAATTCATCATTTGGTGCTTTCCGACGCTGCTTTGGTTGTATGAACAGTAGTCCGTGTTCAGGAACGCCACTATGAGGACTACCCTGCTCTTTTAGGGTAAACCCAGGGGAGGCCCACAGGACTTGAGATCAATCATTATAGCACCTGGAGAACTTCACCTTTGTGTTTCCTCAGTGTTAATGAAATAAAAACTATATCTGCTTTTCTAGTGGATAGAGAAGTTTGAGGAATGCCTGTGTATTTAGTTGTTCATTTTATCATTCAAAGGGACATTTTGAGCTAAGTAAAAGCATATTTCTGTATGTATAACTATTTATCTTTATAAGTCAATGAAGAGAGGGTGAGAATATTTTAGAGTTGATATGGCACATAAAATAAATGGTGATTTTGAAAGAGCACTAAGTTAGATATTTGGAAACACGTTTATTTTACTAAGTCCACTTACTACTTACAATAATTTATAATAATAAAAGCATAATATGCTAATTAGACTGGATAGCCGAACAACCTTCCAGACATCCTTCTGGAGAAGCCATGGTGGTGGGGCTGAGGCAGAGGCAGTTAGGGACGAATCAGGCAGGTGGGTGAGTGGTTAGGGGCGATGAGGCAGGCAGGCAGAGTGGTTGGGGTTGATCAGGCAGGTGAGTGGTTAGGAGTCAGCAGTCCTGGATTGTGAGAGGATGTCTGACTGCCTGTTTAGGCCCCATCCTGCAGGGCCTAAATCCTGCAGGGATTGGGCTTAAACAGGCAGTTGGACAACCCTGAGGGGTCCAAGATTGCGAGATGGTGCAGGCTGGGCTGAGGGACCCTCCCCCCTCAATGCATGAATTTCGTGCACCGGGCCTCTCATCTATATACACTGAGTGGCCAGATTATTATGACCACACCATCAGTACTTCAGTGGGCCACCTTTTGCCTTCAATACTGCGGTGATTCTTCTTGGCATTGACTCTACGAGATGTTGAAAGGAGATGCAAGGAATTTTACACCGTGCCTGATGAATAGCACTGTCCAGTTCTGTGAGATTTGATGGGTGTGGAAGCCACCTAAGCAAGGTAAAGTCTCCCTCATGCTCTTGAAACCACTCTTTCACAATACAAGCATCTTGGCATGGCACATTGTCTTATTGGAAGAAGTCAACTTCATTGGGATACAACATTAACATGATAGGATGAACTTGATCAGCAATGATACTTAGGTATGTTGTGCTATTCAGATGTTGTTCCACATGAATTAAAGGACCCAAATCATGCCAAGAAAATACTCCGCAAACCATAATACTGCCCCCACCAGCTTGAAGGGTTGTACTCATGCACATGGGGTGCAAGGTTTAATGCTGTTTCTGCGAAATTCATGTGCTATCTGCTACCTGCTATCTGCCTGATGCAACTGGAAATGTGATTCATCGGACCACATGACTTTTTTCCAATGCTGGACTGTTCAGTCCTTGTGTTCCTGTGCAAATCGGAGGCCTTCGGCTTCCATATTCTCTAGGATGCAGTGTACAGCTAATTTTCCTACAAACGTCAGGTGATCATCATAATCTGGCCACTTAGTGTATATAAAAGGCTAATATGCTAAGTGTCCGATAGTCTGACTGGTCACTATGACGCGCACTAACAACCCAGAAGCAGATGCTCAACACAGGAGCTGCTGAGCTGCAGTGACTTGGCACCAGCGGTTCTTGGGTGATACACCCTGAAACCAGGGAAGAGGGAGCCCAGTTTCTCGCTGGGCTGCATGATTCCACCTTCGGCCGTGGGTTATGTTGTTGTTGGGGCACTGTTGGCCCCAAATCTGGTTTACTGCACATCTCACCAGTCCTGTTCTGCTGGCCATCTTCTAATTTATTCCTTTCAATGTGCACCGGCTCACTAGTTAAGGTATAATTTTGGACAAGCCATTTTATTTCTGTGAGCTGAAAGACAGTGAAGATAATATGTACTACTATTTTATAGGATTGTGATGATCAAATAAGGAATGTGAAATCTTTAAAATGATATATACATGTTAGGTGTCATTTTAGGCTCTAACCTGATAGAGAAAGTGGCTATTAGACCTAATACGTCTGCTTATATATTGACTGGTTTCTATGTGCCTGCTTAAAAGGTTTCTACATTTTTTACTGTGGAAATGACTGTAAAGAGAAGGAATCTGATATTGCCCCAAAACTTCAACTCATTGGAAAAAGAGAAGTGAGAATTTTCTATCTCCTCCAAGCCAATTTTTGACATGAAAAACTGTTCTATTTTACTCAGCTTTGTAAAGATTACATGGTTTTCACAAACTTTACTAATGAATCAGAAATTTGTCAGCATATTTCAGCTTGGTATGCATATTATGTAATATTTCAATTTTATTAGAGACTTTGCAAACTTTCTTTGTGTTTTCATGTTGAAGATGGTAAATTTTTGAGTAAATTGAGGTTTATTTGATATAGCAGTTTGAAAAGTATCAAACACTGATTTTTTTTTTTTTGCAGGCTTTTTGTTTGCTTACCTTTATGTCCTATAAAGAAACTAGAGAATTGCGGTAGACAGATTTTTTTTTTTTTCTCTAGCTTTTTTTGATGAGCCATACAGATGGGTTTGTTATATCCATGTGAGAACAGAAGCTATAATACTTCTTTTAAAGAAAAAGGGACTGATATTTGCTTTGCTACATATCCAAGGAGCTTTTTCTCATCAGGAACTAGAGTTAGAATGAAAAATATCAAATCTTAAACTTAGAAACAAAAAAACCAGCTTTTTGGAACTGAATAAATTTGAAGTTTATTTTTTTATTTTTCTGAGTTTTGATATGACTCTATGATTACTTATAGTGAGCACTTTGCCTCATCCTATAACATGAGCCAAAAAATAGCATTAATGCTTGCTAAGACACTGATTCTAGGGCTGGGGAGGGAAAACACAAGAGAGGCCTAGAGCATCATGTAGTAGCAAAAAGTAAGGAAATGCTCAAAACACAAAAAGTTGAAATCATGTAAGTCAAAGGGATATGAGAGCCAGCAGAAAGAGCTTATAGTGGCCAACACTGTACAATTTGAGCAATAAAGTAAATGATGTAGTATTGAATTATAACTCAAAGTATACAATAAATATCAAATAAATGATTAAATAAATATGTAAATAGATGAAGAAAGAAACTTCCATACAGATGAAGAATTACAAATAATGTTTGCAGATGTTCTTTACTCCAGGAGATAGAATATTATTCCTCTTCTCCCCTTTTGAGAGCGGGCTAGCCTTAGTCACTTATAAGAACGCATTGTAAAAAGGGATAAACAGTGGCTTCATGTGAAGAAGACTGGCAAACATTACCTTATCAGCTGATGAAGATTTACACCTCAGTGATATGATGAGAAGGGCAGTTTATCTTTGTGACATTTTTCCTAAAAACTAGTAACCTTAGTTTAGTCACAAGACAAGACAAATTTAAATCCAGGATCGTTCTACAAAATACTCGATCAGTACTCCTTAAAGCAGTCAATACCACAGAAAAGAAGAAAAGACTCAAAACAGTCACATACCAGAGGAGATGGGGAAGATAAGATGACTACAGGTAGTGTAGTATACTGGCTGGAGTCCTGGAATAGCAGATGGACAATATGGAAAAATGATGAATAATAATAATTGGGCTTGGTTGATAGTAATGTACCAACATTGGTTTCTTCGTTTTGACAAATTTGCAGTTGTAATGTAGATGTTAATGATAGGGAACACTGGTGAAGGGTATACATATACTATCTGTATTATCTTTCAACTTTTCTGTAAATCTAAGATGATTTCAAAATAAAATGTTTATAAAAAAACATTGGCAAATTTCTTGATCATATAAAATCAAATAATGTGAAGAATAAAAACTGCTTATGTTAACCAATTTTCTAGTTATCATTTTTTAAAATACTGTAATTTTCTCCTAAAATTAAATAATAAGCTATGTTGCCATGGTTTGGATTTATAAATTGTCTTATCCATACCAGTAGCTTCATTTTTAGTTAAAATTTAGTGACCTTTTAGAAGTCATATTAATATCTGAAACTTTTTAAAAAGTAAAAGGAGATTAATGAAGTACAGATTAATAGTTGTATATTTTGAAGTGAAGAAGTTAATAATTTAGTATAGTGGTGCTTAGGAAGTGATTTGTGATCCTTTTGAGGATTATAATTTTGAAAATGCTGAGGTTCTGTTGATATTGTACTTCATTATAATATAGCACTCTGGAACTAAAAAAAATTAATAGTATTGTCAGTTTTGGCAACATATAAAAGCAATAAAATAGAACAAAAGAATACTTAAGAAAACTTAAAATATAAGACTTATTAACTATGCAAATGAATATAAAGAAATTTCTTGTCATTTTTTTTCTAGATTTACTATCTAGGATAGATTTGGATGAACTAATGAAAAAAGACGAACCACCTCTTGATTTTCCTGATACCCTGGAAGGATTTGAATATGCTTTTAATGAAAGTAAGTGGTGTATGCTACATACAATATTTATTTAACAATGCTGATAGAATCAAAGAACAGATGTTATTTACTACTTTTATGTGCCAGCATAAATGTTTTATGTATTTCTTTTGAGAAATACTTTCATGACAAAATTCTTCACTTAATTAAAAGAACTAAGTCATGTTTTCCCATAAATTGTGAAGTCACTTAAACCAATGGACATGAATTAGATTCATCTTACTAGTTATGTATTTCAATCCTAAGCATTCAACTCCCTAGTATCTAATTGGAATTCCCAATTATTTTAAATAACACTTCGTTTTAAATAACACTTTTTTACGTGTTATTTAAAACAAAGTGACTTGCAATGATTATCTGTGATGATATTTTAAAGTTTACTAAATTTTCTGTGACTTTTTCAGGCAACATTCTTGTTTCAAAGTTTATTAATTAAATTCTGAATAATGGGAATTTGTATGGAATTTAGAAGAACACACCATAGATTGAAATAATGTTTCTGAACAAAAATTTATGATTATTTGGATTAATAATACATTGTTTTTACTTAAAGGTAATGTTATTACAGATTAGGTAGCATTTGAGTTGTAGCTTTCTGTTTGTTTTGCATCAACTAAATTGGTGATTTGTCATTGCTGTGTTAGTGGATATCCTTTTACAATATCAATTATACTAAAATATTAAATGAGTTTGAAAAGAAGATATTAGAAACTTTTATTGCTTTTCTGACATTAATGTTCATGCTTTTTAAGTAAAGGATATTTTATTCCAAAATATGTATGAGTAATAATGTTTTATTTTTTTAAATGTCTTTATATTTTAATTAACAGAATCAAATGAGCACTGGGAGTGACATTGCATCTGCTCCCTTGAAATAATTACTGGTTTCTTTTATTCAGAATTGGAATGGGGAGTGTGTTGGTAGTGTGGGTAAATCATAGAACTATATAGGATATCAGTTTTCATTGAAGTCTGTCTTTCATCTTCCTTGAACATTTTTTTAAGTAAGTAGAAAACAAAGGAGCAGTATACTTTTATTTCTTCCTTATCAGATATGTGCACATACATGTGTGCATGCACACACACATATCTTGGCATACATTTACACATTTGGGTGCACATGGTCTGCACTCACACTTTTGTACACACCTACCCTTTTGCAAATGCACGAGCCCTTTCATGTACACACCTCAAATGCACATGCATCCTTGCACAAACCTATCATTTATTTTTTAAATATAGTGGACATTGTCTTGCATAAACATAGGCTAACAGAATTAGGCAAAGATTCTTAAATTCCAAGGAGAGAATGTCACTTTTAAGGATCTTATTTTTAGCATGATCAAATTCATCTTTGAATTCAGGGTTAATGATGAATACTTTTCAAAGAGGTAAAGATTTGAAAACAGGAAACTGAGTCTCAATATTAAATTCCTAAAAGGTTAAGTCCCACTTAGTATCTTCGGGGACTTCCTTTTTAGGTTTATAACTCTTATGAAAGCCTCAAAATGAAACTTTAATTACCTTACTGGAGAAGCTACTAAATTTTTTAAAACGATTTTAAAGTTCTTAATTAAGTAAAAGTAAAATTTGGAAACAAAGCTCACTCTAAGCTAAAGGGTAGAGATTCTTTTTACCTGAGTCAAACTGATACATGTTCTTTCAAATCACTGTGCCTGTTTAAATGCTCCTTTGGTTTAAGATGTTTACTTCGCCATTCTCTGGTTATAATTATACAAGGCCCAGCTGAAATTTCTTTGCTTTGGAAGATGAAGAAGGTGAAGATTTCCCCCTTTTTCCCTCACCCACACTCCCTATGCCCTTGTGCAGTATTATGAGGAAGCGCGCTTTTGTATCACCATAAAAGTAATTGTACTTGTTTGTAGGCTGTTTAAGTTTGAATTTTGTCTTTCATTATATCTGATATTTATTGAACTCTTACCACAAAATAGTATCCTATATACTTTCAATCGCTTGATTTATTTAGGCCAGTGAGAGCCTATTTTGGTTCCTAGCCTACCATGAATCTGATAAAATATATGTATGCATATCCTGGAATAATGCACGTTTGTGTATACATATGAAACTTTACAGCTGATTTTAGAGGACCCTAAGCTACAGTGTCCTAAATCATACCTTTGACAATTATTGGAGAGATTTTCCAAACCTTTGAGAAATGCCAGATTTGCAGATACCACTATAACAAAAGTGATACAGCTTGCTTTTCTAGATAAGAATACTCCTTTTTTTTTTCCTCTTAATTTTGCATTTTTTCACTTTTAACACCAATGCTAGATCATAAAAAACGAAAATCCTTATTACATTATGAGAAGTATTATGTCCAAAATGAGTAGAGGCCGAAACCGATTTGGCTCAGTGGTAGAGCATCGGTCTGTGGACTGAAAGGTTCCAGGTTCATTGGTTGCAGGCACATCCCCGGTAGGGGGTGTGCAAGAGGCAGCTGGTCGATGTTTCTCTCTCATCGATGTTTCTAGCTCTCTATCCCTCTCTCCTCCTCTCTGAAAAAATCAATAAAATATATTTTTTTTAAAAATGAGTAGAGAATTAATAAACAAAACAAAACAAAACAAACTTCTCTTTGAGATGCAGATGAAAGTGGCCTGTTAAATTGACTTACCAGCTAGGTAAGTCAGTTCTCTTTCACAAGTAGTCTCTCAGAAAATACATTTCACATTTCTTTTACATATTACTATGTCATGTACCATTAAGGCTGCTTTAGTCAAAATCACAATTGTTAAACTTCAGGTGTCATCAGTCTACTTGAATTGATATCTTATATGGGAATTTCTCTTTCCTAGAAAGCAAAACATAGATACATCTATTTTTACAACATCATTTGACATAAAGAATGTGATAGTGATTCAGTATTGTGTCTCATGTCGAGAGTACTAAAAAGAACTTTATGATAAAGGATTAGCCTTTATTTTATATATTAAAAATATCCATTTTATGTGAGGTAAAATTGATACATAAAAAAATAGTGAAGTAGTTTTACTTGGAGTAGTATATTTCCTGGGTTGAGTTTTAGTGCCATAACTTTCAAGTCTTTCTCCATGTATAATAATCATATACTAACTCCACTCGTCTTGGTCATGTTCCTCTTCTGCCTCTAACTCCCTTCTTGTGCCTCACTGCTCTTAGGACAAAGTCCAAGCCCAGTAATTTGGGCCTTCTACTATTTGATCCCAATATGTGTTAATAGTGTTAAATCGTACTATTTGCCTCAATATTCCTTTTGTTTCTGTTAAACTGAATTGTCTCCTGTTATTTGAATTTGCTATCCATTTTTTTTTTTGTAATTTTGTTTACATTGCTGGGAACTAGGGGGAGTTAAAGCAGTTGTCCTGTGGTCTATTTCTCTTCTGATTCCCGGGGGAATATTAGGGAAAGAAAGAAGACAGGTGGCCTGCTCTTTTCTCCTTGTTAACATGCTGATAATTGAATCTTTTAGTGAATACAGACTAGTGTTTGCTATGAGGAGAATCCTTCTCCATGGAATAAATTCAGCAGGATAACTCGTTTGGCATTGCTTATGGTAAACAAACCTTTATTCTGTGGATATGTGAGGTATGCTTCTTTGAAGAATATTAAATAGGCAGTATCACTTTCTGGCACATAAAATGGAGTATTTATGTAACTAAATGCTCACCAATGTGTAAGGTAAGCTGCATGACTCACTTAGAGACTTCACCTATTCTGGACCAGAGAGTGCTGTCCACTGAGAGGAAAGGGCCTGGGAAGAAATTCTTAGGCTCTTTTAGACCTCTCTTCCAGTTTTGTCTGTTTCTCTTGATCACTTAAACCCTTGAAATTATTAGTTAAGTTATTCATTATCAATAAAAGCTCTCAATTGAGTGAGTTTACCTTGATAGTCCAAGCCAGTACTGGTTGACTCCCTTTCTCCATCTTTCTTTGAAATTTCATCCCATATTTCAAAGCCTCGTTGAAAAATCTCACCAAAACCTTCTGAACATATTCTAGCCTATAGCGATCCTTCAAATTAATCCAAATTCATCTTAGACTTCATTGACTACATGAATTGCCTGTGGCAGTTTTTAGATTATTGACTTCCTTCTTATTTAACTTCTTTAAAAGTCGCTTTATTTTTTCATACCTATGTTTTTACCCTTCAGGTTTTTAGCTTAAGAACTGGGACTTTTTATTGAGGGCCCTCAAATACTGTTAATTTACTTTAGATTAGAAAATGAAGATTAGAAAACGTAGTATTTGAGTGCTTGGGGCCATTCTTTTAGGATATTTATATGTTTGTATCCTACTGATATTTAAAGAGAAAATCTAATGAAAAATAAGACAGTTCTGAGAAGTTCTTTAAAATTTTTAATCAGACATTAGTTGTACTTTACATATTATTATACATGTACTCTGAATCATAGCCATATTGTTTGTTTATCTTCTAGAGGGTCAGTTAAGACACATAAAAACTGGGGAACCATTTGTTTTTAACTACCGAGAAGACTTGCACAGATGGAATCAGAAAAGATACGAAGCTCTAGGAGAGGTATGGTCTACCTTGTGTTTTTACAATTTTGAATAAAAGTGTTAAACTTGAAGTAGTTTATGGACTTGTTCTACAAAAAGTGATTTCAAAAAGATTTTGTTATATTATTTTTTAGGTTATTTTTAATGGTTACGTTAGAAACACACTCTCAGTTTAAAAGTTTGTTGTTCTATATACATATCTTTCCTATGACCTTAATATTTTCTAGTGAGTCATTATGTTAGAAACAATGCCAATTTTTAAAAGTGTTTTAAGAAGATGAATCTCTGTTGTTCCAGGAGTAGTAAGTACTCTTTTTTAAGTGCTTACCTAAAGAAAACAAAGAGTTACCTATGTTTGCTATGTGAGGTGATGGCTATGTTAATTATCTTGATCTTACTAATCATCCTACATTGATGTGTTGACATATCAATTCATCATGTTGTACACTTCAAATATATCCGATTATGTTTGTCAATTACTTCTCAATAAGAAATTTTAAAGTGCTTATCTATATGATATTTTGCTAACAAATTAGGTCTAACCTACTTAATTTGGACTTGATAAAGCATTAGGTCTTGTAACCATTAGGTTCTTCACATGGTACTGCTAATTGAAACCTTTGAAAATATCATTTGTCATTAAGGTGAATGTTTTGTTAAAGCTAAAAGTTTTACTCATTCTATGTCATAGTAAGTATTTTTAATAAAATGCATACTGGTGTAGATAATTAGACTACTATTTTACTTCTCTAAGGAAAGCTGACATTGCTCTTTTTTTCTTTAGCTCTTTAATAAAGTAATTAAATGGATTACTTAGTTAAACAATAGCATAAGAATATATGAAACAATTTATGTTTGCTGGGAGACAATTCTTTGTGAGTTTCTTGCATTTTTGCATCTGCATTGCCTAGATTTCCACCTCCTCTGCCTGCATTCACACTTGTGTTAATGATCACATTGGCCCCAAGTGATCACACAACATTGCAAGATTTAATTTTTAGTGCAATATTTTTCAAATTTAGATCATTGGACCCCTGAGTTTTATGTACCAATCTCATTTATTCCCCAAAATGAGCACAATAAAAGACCCAAGGGTTGGAGAAAGAAGCTCAGTTGTTATAACATTTGTTGCATGTAATCTAGCTTCCATGTCTTATTTGAAATACTTGTGTTATTGCTAATTTCACTATCAAAAGTTGATTATTAATTGGATTTCAGTTCTTACATGTTAGGCGTGAGATAAACAAGTTCTAGTTATTTATGAGTAATGACACAATTTTCACTACAGTGAATTTATTTAGGGTTCATTGTATTGGGATTTAATGCATTTGTGGACCTGCCTTTTCATCTGTATTCCTTAATATCCACATCCTTAATGCACTTTCAAGTTTCAGGTTAGATTTATCCTTCATTTGCACCTTATGCTATTTTCTCTCTTTGAGATACCCTGCCTCCCTTGTTCACGATCCTCCTTCCTCCACCTGCCTTCAGGTTATGGCTCAGATGTCTCCTCCTTTTTAGAAGCCTTCCCTCATCTCTGCTATAGTCTTTTTCTCTGCTCAATTTCCTTTCTTCTCATATCTTTTTCTTCCTATCATGTCTTCTTCCAAAAAAAAAAAAAAGAAAATTAAAGGTGAATGCCATTTATTAATAGTAAAAATAAATAAGAAAATAGAATTTAAAAAATAATGCTAGTAAACCAAAGATATGAGTTTGCTTTCTTAAGATATTTCACTCTGTATTATAGTACTGTTTATGCATGTCTTTAAGCAGTTAGGGAAATTTTTCTGTGTCAGAATACTGTTTATATGATAGTTGTTGAAAATAAATGAGTGTGATACAGATATATAAATTGTTTAGCACACATTCTGGATCTATGGATTTTTAGGGAATTTTTTAATGTTAGGAATTTAAACATAAAGATATGTAAATTTTCTTATTGGAAGGAAGGAAAATGATCTGTTAGTGATAATTTTCCTATTTGTAAAGCTAAATAATTTTATTTTTTTATTCCAATTCCCATTTAAGTTTTAAAAGTGTCAGACTCCTAAAGCTTTGCTAATTAAGTTATTTGATAAAAAATAGAATCTATTTGTGACATATTCTTTTGGAACATTTTTAACCTTCATGGTCAAACTGTAGATTTATATCACTATAATTAAGAATATGTAAGTTCTATGTATATAATAACTCACAGTTCTTAAAAACAAATAAACTTTTGTATTTAGCTTCTGCAAATAATTTAGTACTATATATTACCAATAATATGTCTTAATAGTTAAGCAAGAGACCTTAGAAAGTATGTCACCATGTCCTGGACATAAAATGCACTGAAAATTTCCTGCTCCTCCTTGATGGATAGGGCAGAAGATAGTGCAAATTTGAGTTTATCGCCTGGGAGACTACCTTAATAAACAGCTTTTGATATGCATAAGATTAAAGTTTAAAGGAAAGAGATTTTGACTTTACCCAGCAATCTAAACCAAAACCCCTTTAGTTTTCATAGTGTTTGCTACTAAATCAAATTACCATATTTTTGTCTTCAATTGGGAGCTTTTTTAAGGTTGGGCAAAAGTAGGCTTACCGTTGTTGGTATGGAAAAGAATACAATAATTAATAAACAATGATACAAGAATAAACTATTTCAGGTACTCACAATTGTAAACCTTTTGCCCAACCCTGTTTATGTTTCACAGCTGCTGTTTTAGTTTATGTTTATTTCTCTCATAAGGAGGTTATTATAGCAGTTATTCAGCAGAGATTGTTTTTAAGACTTACTCCTGAAATGTTCTATCATTTCTATGTAAATTTAATTTATTGTGTAAGTAAAGTAAACTGAGATGTCACATTGTTTTTAGAATACAGTGCCATAACTATACAAAAGAATATGGTTTATATCCATATAGTTACATTTTTATAGTCCAAAAAATGCCCTTGCTAATCTGTATCTATATTTTTTACTATCTACATATAGTTGATGAAAACATGTAGCCTTTAATAAGTTTGTATAATTTCTCTAAATTTAGAAGGATATTGTCAGTTGAAAGAGGTGGAGTGGTGTGAATGGGTAATTTTTTAAATAAAAGTCTTCAGTGTATATATATATATATTGGGGTTGAATGCTAGGGAATGTTTCTGGTAGACTTAACTCAGGAAAACTAGAAAGGCTATTATGTTAAGTAGTAAATAGAATGGTAAAAACTCTATTTGTAACTTGCAAAATTTTCTCAACTCTTCCTTGTGAATACTGAATTTCTATTAGATGGAGAATTTATAATACTGCAGATTTTCTAATGAAAGAGAGATTTGATTTTCTTGCCTAATTTGGGTCTTTGCATTTCTTTTTATATTTAACTTGATTACCTCAGAAGTAATTGTCAGTGTGCTTAATAGCAGTGATTTGGTAGTCCAATAAGCTTGGCTGGCTCTTTCTTTGTAGAGAGTGTTACACTTACAAAAAGAACTAAGGACATACTTTTTTTCCGATCCTGACTTAGTAATATGTCTTGTAAAATAGAAAATTATTAAAAAATGTTACATTTTAAAAAATGGAATTTGTTAAAGAATATAGGCCAGTGGTATCTTAAAGGTTCTTATAGTGGCCATATTCAGATATTTGAAATACAAGCAACTTAAAGTAAGGAATAATAACATAAACTATCATTATTTTATGTTCAAATACTTACATATAATGTGATTATCTGTGTATAAGTAATGTCTTCATATAATATGTGATTCACATGTCTTATAATAGAATCAAAGGGTTGGCCATTAGGAAATCCAGTCCTTCTGTCTTAGTCATCATCTATTTGACTTAAATATATATATATATTTGAGCCTCCACTATAAAATGCGGATACAATTTTCTGTACTGTTGCAAATAATAAGTAAGATGCATACATGTGATATTTTCTTTAATGTGCTCAGCAAATATTAGGAGCAAGAAATGAAGATAGGCCTTTACTATTTAAGATTTCTAATTAATATTTGTTATTAACATTATGGAGGTTTAATTTGCTTTTCTCTCTGTCTACTTATTGTTACTGGCAAAATTTATCTCTCTATGTTAGAAACAAAGAAATGACCACTCGCGCAGAGTTGGTTAGCAATCTCCTTCACTTCAATCTCAATCTCTCTTGGGTACTATATCCAGGATGGTATTAGTAATTAGACATCTTAGAATTGAAGAAATAGTCATTGAAATAATGAGAAAACCTAATTGAGAAAAATTGTGAGCCTCTTTAAAAACAATGTAGCATTGACTTAAGAACAGACACACAGACCAATTGAACAGAATACAAGTCTACAAAGTTCTAATACACATTGAAATATAGTTTATGTTATGATGCAGTCATAAATCATTGGAGAAAAGGAACTTTAAGTAATAGATAGATGATACCATGTTTCCCCGAAAATAAAACATCCTCTGAAAATAAGACCTACTTACAGGTTTCCTTCTAAGTGAAATATAAGGCATCCCCCCGAAAATAAGGCCCCCCCAGGCTCTGTCTCAGAATGAAAATTAATTTACTGTAAACTGGTTGCAGGCTACCTTGACAAGAAGTACTCATTTAAAGACAGTGCTATTCCTAAACATGAGAGATTTGGTCCACTGATTCTGAAAGAAATGGAGTCACAAGAAATTCACTAGGAAATTCAGGAATTGGATTGTTATGATGATGTTCCAGAAGATGATGACATGATTGTCATTGAATAAATGAGTCAATTCTTGATACTGTAGGATTCACAGTTTGTCTGGTTTGTGTTGACAACGACCGTACTACGGTACCATATACAGGTAATAAATTTCCTTTATTTTCATTTAACAATAAATGTGTACCGTATTGTTCTTCATGGAAAAATAAGAAATGCCCTGAAAATAAGACCTAGCTTATCTTTGGGAGCAAAAATTAATATAAGACACTGCCTTATTTTCGGGGAAACAGGGTAGTTATACACTAGAATATAAAATTTGACTATATATCACAATATACACCAGAATGAACTCCAAATGGATTA